CTGAAGAAAAGATTTCAGGCAGAGTTTCGATTCTTGAACGCGTTTTTTGCAACAGTATCACCATTGCAAGTCGCAACCGAAAGTGTTGTTGCAAATACTATTGCAGTGACATTGACGTATTCTCTGTTGTATTAGTTTTTGCAACAACAACACCTGGCCGCGACTTGCAATGATAAAAGGTTGTTGTAAAAATAAATTGTGTTGACCTCATCTTCATTCTTTGTTTGCTGCAGATTGAAGGTCTACAAAGGCATCCGAGATACGGAGCGACAGTCGAACACCGAGCATACAGAAATATGCCCGATGCATTGCGACGGATATTGCAGGCAGAGGGTTGTGCTGGTCTATATAAGGGGATAGTACCATCAACTGTTAAAGCTGCACCAGCTGGTGCTGTAACATTTGTTGCATATGAATTGACATCAAATTGGCTGGAATCTATTTTGACTTGATATTTTACACACTGTAGAGAAAAGAGGGAGAGAGATTCTTATGATTATTTCTTTTCTCACTTGAATTATCTCTCAGTGATAGAAATGAAGCATGAAGTGCATGATGATTTGTTCTTAATTACAACATCTATTTAACTTATTCTTGTTAAGTTGATTTTGAATTCCAAAGTTATCCTAAATGGTTCAAACAAGGACTGTACTTTCTGTAACTAAATAATACTGAAACTTTAGTAATCCATTTTTGTTGTTGTTGCAGAAGTTATATGGTTAATGGCATAAACAATACGGAAGGCCGAGTTTTAATTCATACTAAAGAGAGAGTAACTTATGAAATTACATAAATCACTCCTCCATTATTTACTTCTATAAAAAACAACTTCATTTATATACATACATTACACTAACTGTATTGCATGAGAAAAAATATGATAAATGTAATTAAGTTAAACAAAATATAATATATTGTGGAGACAAATCAATATATTTTCATTATTTTTGGTTCATTACAAAATACATCAATAATTCTAAGGAGATATTATTTAAATCACTCTTATATTATATTATAACGAACAAAAAATAATGAAAATGTATTGACTTGTATACTGTTAAATTTGTTTCCACAATATATTATATTATGTTTAACTTAATTACATTTATCAAATTTTTTGTTTAAAAAATCACATTTCTTTCTCATGCAGAGGTGACCAGTGTAATGCATATTTATAAATTAGTGTTTTTTGTAAGTGTAAAAAAATGGAAAAATAATTTATGTAATTTCACTAAAACTTATCAGCCTAATTATAAGTGTAAAAGCATGGCACCACAAGTATCATTATGAAATAAAGCAAATTTGTATAGAGGTTATTTGTATAATTAAATCAGATGTTTAAATCTTAAAATTGTTAATTTAAAACTTTAGTTAATCTCAAGCTTGATGTGGATATCTAGTCAAAGACAGAAAAAAAATTCTTAATTTATTAATGTTTTATCATTTTTGCCAATTTTGTAAACCTTTTATTATTTTTTAAAGTTGGTCACAACTCACAATTACCAACACTAAACAAAAACCAATCAATTGTGTGAGCCAGTTTGGTGGATTTGGCTTGTTTTCTTTCGTACTATCATAAATTAATATAATTTTATGTCATAATGTTATGCTTTCTGTTTTTATAAAATTTTAAAATAAGTTATCACGTTTTACATTACATTTACTATTTGGTTATGTATTGAGATTTATATTTCTTTTTATATTGAGATCCTTCATAACATAAAAGTTTCTTTTTCAAATTTTATTCCTTTTAAATTTTCTTCAAGTTGGTACGTAATAATTAGGGAAGATTACATGATTAATCTTTGAAGTTATTTTTATGTTTTCAAAAAGTTTTTTAATTATTTTGTATTTATAAATCTATTTTATATGTTTTTTTGCATTAATTTTATAGCTTGAAACATATTTTTTAATATATAGTTTCATTTTGAAGTATAAAATGAATAAAATGAAATGGTTATATCAGAAAAATCAATTAAGGCAATATAATCTCAAATTATAAAGTCATTTGTATATAAAGCTAGTAACAACGCCTCGTCCGATGCAAAGATGTTTTATTTCATGTTAAAAGAAATTTAATATTATCATATGGGAGAATATTTTTATTTTGATATGCCTTCTATTCTTTTGCTCTTTTGGTTTAAGGAGTGATGATTTATGAATGGTGTAAAATAATTTATTCTTTTATTTAATAACTGAATGACAACGTTCCAAAAATTATCATTCTATAATTAAAAAATAATCTCTTTTCACAATGTTTGGACTTAAATAAGATGAATATGATGACACTATCAATAATCTCCGACTCGCTTTTCTATTGACTTAATTGTAATTGATTGTATATTTTTATTACATTTTTCATAATTATAACAAAATCAACAAAATATGATTTTCAAATTTGCATATTAAAAAATGAAAAGGATAAACTGTCGTGTTCAAATGGAAAAACTTTAAAACTTACATAAACAAACATAAAATGAGGAAATATGTTGATATAAAATATATATTAATAAGAGCAAAAGAGGAAAACACAAATTACACTATAATGGATAGTTATTTTTTTTCCCTTTATATATTAATATAGATATAGATATGATGTAATGGAAAATGAGTATGATGACACTATTAATAATGGCAATGCAAATCAAGGCTATGGATATAAATCGACCAAAAAATTAGGCTCGGCAATGAGCACTTCACACTTTGGTTATTAACAGGGATGACAAAAGGATCGGACGGGTATGAGTACTCACACAATTGGCGGGTACCCGTGTAGATAGCAGATATTCACGGGTACATTTTCAATTTTAATTATATTATTATATATTTTACAATAATTAATATATAAAAATAATTATTATTTGAATGATATGTATATGATCATTTTAAAATTATAGTTCCATCACAAAATTTTATTATGAAATAATAATAAAATACATAAATATAATGTTAAAATAATAATAATTAAGCATAAAATATTTGATTAAAATATATACGCGGGTACCTATGGGGCGGATATCGTGATATTGTGATATACATTCTCACTCATGAGGTTTTTTGACGGATAGCCAAAGATGAGGTGTTTTTGCCATCCCTAATCCAGAAAGTGTATCAAGATAAGATCTTTATCTTATACTGTTCCTGTTGGTTCAGTAGCTCGCAACAATGACACAAAATAATTCTTACTAGCTGAGTCATGACCAGGTCGCTCTTTTTAAGAGGTTTCGTGGTACTGTCCAAATTGTGCAAGCAGACTATCAAGCACGTCATCCCCAGGATAAAACAGCCTAGTTCTCTACTATTTGATTTTTTACTGCACTGTAAGAATCGTTCTCGAGTACACCTGCAATATGACTACCAATGCCAATTCTGATATACCTACAATATGGCTTCTCGTGCCAATTCTATTCCTACAACCTGACTACCACTGTTAGTTTCCGAATTTCCGACAATATGGTTGTTTGTGCCAATTCTTAGTGTCACGGAAAGAAAAAGGGAGAAAGTAAGTCGGGAGAAGTCTTTGAGAGAGAAAGAAGAAGCCGAGGAGTGAGAGTCCGACTGATGCAATGAATTATGAAGAGGGGAGGCCTCTATTTATAGTCTGAGGCCTCCAATCGCATCTCCATCCAACGGCCCAAGGGAGTGGTTGTGCGCCTTCATCCTATGGTCAGGAAGGAGTCCTGCCCGGATCTCCCTCTCACTGGCCGAGATTCTCTCCCTTGACCGAGCAATCTCACTCTCACTTCACTCTCCAAGCGAATGTTGACTCAGTCATACGCGTGTGCCACATGCTGTTAACTTGGTCAGCCACGGTCCAAGCCCATAAACCAAAAAAGAATAAATAAAATATTTATTTTAAATAAAAAAATGTTGGGCCCAAGGTGGTGGTGGTGGTGGTTGGTGATAGCAACCCACCTAGGCCCAAGCCTAAGAAAGCCAACAAATCCTTCAAGCATGACATACAACTAGATAAACCACTCGATGAAGGTCACCTTTCCTTAAGGGATTAGTGATTTTTACTCTATTTTACATTAATAAGTGAGAGTCTTATGTCCCACCATTATTTTTAATTTATGTTTTATTTTGCATTAATACGGGGATGTTAAGGGAACATGGGGTAGTTTTCATTACATGCCACTTGCCATATGGGAACCAGCCGTGTAGACACAAGCAGATGTTAATGTTTTCCTTTTCAAGCTTGAGCCGTGTGAATTGCCACAAATGCCAAAGAACGAAGCTGCCATTCAAAGGCTTGATCGGCTTGTGATCAGACTTGCCTAATCAAGAGTGGACCGACCAGACTTGCCTAATCAAGAGTGGACCGACCAGACTTGCCTAATCAAGAGTAGACCAATCATGGGCATTAAAAAAAACAAGAAGAAATCACGACCATGTTGGGATTACAAGTTAAGGCATTCAAAAACTTGCCTTTTCCAAGCAAGCAATTAAGGCAGATCCGTACACATTCAAGCCCATCAAAGCAGCCGCACAAAATCATGAAGTTGCCAAAAATAGCGCATGGAGCGGGTGCATATCAAATCCAGCCATGTGCCAATTCAACATGTGCACATACAATTGAAAACTTACCAAAATTGAGATCAAAGAGCATGTGCTCTAATTGCAGCTGTGTGGAGCATATCCAGCTTGTGCCTTAATGAGATTTAAACACATTGAAGACACGGCTGCCTAGTCAGCAAGGCATCACCCAAAGCCAAACCTGAATCAACCAGCATTAAAGCAGCCGCGTGGACTTCCAGCCAGGCCATAAAGTCAATTAATGAGTTTCCAAGAATAGTGCAAGGGACAATCAAAGCTGTCTGGCCAGACATGTGGAACATTTAAGAATGTTGCCTTTTGTGGAATTGCCACTTAAATGGCACATTAACTTAGCTGTGTGGAAATTGCACATGTGCTTATCTCCAGCCCAACAATTCAAAACGTGGAGCCACAAGGAGTTATGAGTTTCCTTATTAGAAACACTTTTGAATTTTCCTTGTTTAAATTCTGAATTAAGTGAATGAATTGTAATAAAGGATTGCCTTATTTAGAATGGCCTGAATCGGGTCCGTAAGCTAGGTAAGGAGTTAGAGTTGGCTGAACAAACTAAATGCATAGGCGTGAATATGGGAGCCACCTTGGCCAACCCACACTATTTGTATGCTTTAATTTTCAAGAAATAAGACAAGTTGAATTTATGCAAAATACTTTAGTGAGTTTTCTCCTAAGTTTCTTGGTTGAACCAAGTCCCCCTTGTTCTTATCAAAGATCCTTCTTTGTGGCGAACTTCCCTTGGCTTATCAAATAGCCTTGTTTGTGGCGCCTTACCATCTCATTCTTCTTCACTCTCGGCCAATCCATCTAAACACAATCCAACCATTAGCCTCGGCCAGAAAAACTACCAAGGATATAAAAGCCTCGGTCAGAAATTCCTAACCAAGCACCAGCCCAAAAACCAATCCCCACGGCCATAAACTAAATCAAAAACATTTCCTATCAACCATAACCCAAAGCCAACCCAAAAACCCCAAAAAAAATACCAAAAACATTAGTTCTATCTTCTCAAAACCAAAATCCAATTTGTTTCTACCCAAATTATACACATAAAACCGTGACCCCTAAGTCTTAACCAATTCCACACAAAATTTTGTCTTTTCAAGCAAAACGATCGCAATAACACCAACCCCCACAAGGAGGTTGCTGTCAGTTGGCATGAAGAGAGGATGCATAGGATTTATGGCTAGTATTCAGTGAAATGACTTTGTAGCGTAAACAGTCTTAGCGTGTGTGAGTCTTCACCCATTCACAAAACCCATTGTACCCCTTAGGGCACGGCCAATGGTGGGAGTTTAAGGCTTATAAACCCTTCCAACTTCCCTCCTCCAACCGATGTGAGACTTGGAGAGTTTTTTCTATTTCACACTCAAAGTTTCCTCATTAATGACCACATTAATATGCTTTAATGTCTCTTTGAAATCATAAATTTTCAACGGTTCCGGACAACATTGAGACTCAGCAAGATAATACAAAATACAAATACCTTACCTTGCAAAGCAGAAACTCAATTTACTGATGTTTTAAAGACACAGACTTAAAAAATATCCATTGTAGAGCATTGAAGAATGAACAAACGAACAATAACTGTTGGGTACCAAACCTTTATTGCCTCACACTCTCCAAAGTTAATATCCTAAAAAAAATCTAATTTGTGTTATTAGTGGCCGCACAAGCACTTATTAATACAGACAATTACAACTCCTATACTTCAGCATTGACAGCTTTTCACATTCACTTTTCTGTTTAAAGTAACTACTACCATTTTTCAAGTGGCAAAACTTTTTTCACACTTCAAATCTATTTAAAACAGCCCTTTTGTAAGACAAATGCCAGTTAGCAATGCCGGTAAAGCAAACTTATCTCGGTGTTTTGTTCTTATCTTTACTGCTGTTATCTTCTGGAGGCTTTGAGAGGAATTGCAATATCCTCTGAATCTGAACAACATCAACCTGGAATTTTTCAGCAATCTGGTGGGCATCCATAGGTCCATTGTGATCATCAGCCTTGCCTTCGTGCAAGAGGATGATATGTCGCAACTGTGCTATATTCAAAGTGCCAGTAGGAACTGGCCTTTCCTCATAGCTAGAAGAATCTGGTTTTGTATTTCGCAGCCTTGGCATGGGTCTACTAGACTTTTGAACCACAAAGGCCTGTAAATATTATCAAACTATAAGATGACCTTGTCTCGTTAAATTATGCACTACAATGTAAAAAGCAAAGCTTAGAGCCTTAGACCATTGAGACTGTGATAGTTTTGTAGATCCTGTTTCAGGGATGGGAAACAATGAACTGGGGGCATGGGTCAACAAAGGAATGCAAATTTTAACCCATAGTTACATGGTATACGGGACAGGTTCTATTAGTTTCGTCACATTTACTATTATTATTATTATTATTAAAAGACTTCCTTTATGAGGAACCTGATTTGTGACAGGCCAAATTTGTACGTGTTTACATAGGCTAATTGAGGGACCATGTAACTATGCTTTAACCAGTTGTCCACATGGCAGGATGATTATGGACTGTGGCTATAAGTCTGTTTAAGGGAATTTGGGGAAAGCATAAAAAGGGAAACATGGGAGAGGGGGCTATTCAGTTTGATAAAAGAGGATCGGTATAGGAGTTGCAGGTCCCTTGAAGAATCTTCCATATCTTTTCTTTTTTGTTCAAGGAGAGGGTGAGGAGTAATGAAAGAAAGCTTTATAAAACAATACTTATCTTCAGTTTTAATGATACGAGGCCGCCATTAATGATGAAGAACAGTATGACGTGATAAGATTTCTAAAGGCATATTAGTACTTAACCAATTAAGTATAAAAAAACAGTATTTTAGACAAATAAAAATCCATAACATAAGGAGATAAGATGTTTTTGGCAGATTTTATTTCATATGACAGGAGATGCACAAGCCAAATACAGGAGAACATTTTATGACACATGTTAACTCTAATACAGTTTCATTCGCAAAGGGTGAACAAAACAATGTCAGATGTTCAAGTTCTAAGGTGTAAACGTCGAAATGGAAAAGAACACATCACACACGACATCATAACACTTCAGTATCAACTTCAAACTCAACATAAGGATTATAAAACTCACCTCACCCATCTCAGGTTTCCCCCCGGGCTTTGACGTGATTTTACCAATCATTTGACCAAGCATAGCATCATACTTGGGATCCTTATCCTCAAGGATGTTGTCAACATTAACTCTAGGACGATCATCTTTAGCCAAGAAAAACAACAATGATATCAACCATAATGAAGTGCCATGGTACCATTATACACCTCAGACAAACACCAAAATTATAAGCAATACACATTTAGGTACTAGGTAGTACAGCACAAACTGACACAAATTAAGATGAAGGTAAGCCTCACATATGCAATATTAGCTACATCTAGTAAGTCCACAATCTATTGGTATACCTAGAAGGTCGAAATAGATGAAAATTTACTTTTATCTCAATTTCAAACCAAATATAAGAGGCCAAAAATTGTGCAGTTCAGGTAAAAACTGTGTTGCACTCTACTTGTTAGTATAAGACTCTTGGCATCGAAAATTCACTATAAACTCTTACTAATTCGAGTCAAGCCAAACTGAATAACTCGAGCCGAGTTGCGAAGATCCATTTAACCAACACCTTTTTAATTCATTCACAAAACTTGGAAAGGAGCTCCTATAGACGTTGGTTGCACTACAGTTTTAATGATCCCCGATTTCATTGTAACAATCAAAGTGTGGGAATTTTGTTTTTCAAAAAAAACTCCAAGCTTTTGACTACCCAATTTTCCATCTTCCAATTCTCAGCTATAAACCAAGCAAACCATAAGACAAATATATCAATTTCAAAATCAAAACTTTGAAGTGAATACTCAAAATTCATCAACACAACATTGTTCAGGACCAAATTTACCAATACCCAAACATAGTACAACACATTCTGAACATAACCACATTAGCTACCTCGATTGCTGAGATAACCACTAACATTTTCATTTTCAATGAAATGAAAGGGACACATAAAAAAGCAAAAAAAATGAAGTGAAAGGTACAAAAATTTCGCAATCGCATTTGGATAAAGACACTTACCGGCGGTGTCCAGTGAGTCCTTTTCGGCAGCCTTTGAGATCTCCGTTGCTTTTTCGGCGGTATATTTCGGCGGAGGAGGGCGATGATCGACGACGGTTTTCGGGTCGGGTACTCGGACCCTTCCAGATGCTCGACGAAATGCCTGACCCATAGTTCTAGGACACAACAGGTCCAACCGCAGCTTTCGCTCTTTGATTACAATGTAACTAAGGAGGAATAAGTATTCTAGTTTAGTTTAATTAACAGTGTTATTGCATATAAAATCTATATATCACTTCTAAATTAATCGTTAATAAATAATGATAAGGAAATGTTACTCTTTTTGGAGTAGGGATAGCAATAGGGTTGGGCAAGATATAGGTAGTATATATCTGTGCTCTTATCTGCACTATTTGTAGGTACCCATACGGATAGTGGGTATTTACAGGTACCTAACGAGTTTTCAATTTTAATTATATTTTTATAAATTTTACAATAATTAATATATAAAAATAATTATGACTTAAATAATATGATATATATGATAATTTTATGATTATATTCTTATCACTAAATTTTATTATGAAATAATAATAAAATAGACTAATATAATAATAATAATAATTAAGTATAAAATATTTAATTAAAATATATATGCAGGTATCCGTGTGGTAGATCTCATAATACTTCTTCTCACCCATGAACTATTTTGTGGGTATCCATTGCAGATATTTTGACGAGTACTCATTGATCCAGATATTTTTGACATCCCTATTTACAAGTTATTATAAGAAGATTTATCGGAAAATATATTATAAGGAAAAAATATAAACCCCCACCTCCAAAACTGCGAGGGTAGTTTGTCCCTCTATAAGGAGGAGGTTGAAGAGTATATATATATATATTTATATTTAATTTTATAATTTTACATATATTAATCGAGTTTGGTGAGTAGTATCAATTGTTTCAAACCCGAACCCAAAAATTGAACTTTGGTAAAACTTGAACCTAGTCACATCGGGTTTTCTCTGTTAAATTCGGATTGAGTTCGTACGGGTACCCACAAGTTAATAATTCGATTCTTGTGAGTGATACTTGTTGAAATAGATAGCGATGTATCTTGAAAAATATTAATTTTTTATCCATAAGGTAAGGGAATACCCTTAGATAAACAAAAAATAACTTACGCGATAGAACTTTGTCCCTAATATTAGTCCTAGAAGTTGGTGGAAAATATTTGTCGTTATTAGAAAAAGAAGAGTTTAATATATATGAATTGTAAAGTTTTTTATACCCCATCCATCACTGACGTCAATATATACATATTAAATCCAAAAGAGAATCATAAATCAAATTGCATTTTTAATAAAAAAATTATTAGAATATACTTATTGATTAAAAACTTTAATATCAGAGAAAATGCATGCACTAACAATATATATTTATATTTAATTATCATCAACTTTTCAAAAAAATAATTCAAATAAATGATAGATAATATAGAGATTATGTATAAATCTTTACGCATACAATGCATAAGTATTACACTCTTAATATTATTATTGTTATTGCAACAAGTAATAATACCATTATGTGCCAAGTGGCTGGTTTCCAGGTGGACACGTCCTCCATATGTGTTTAGGTACGTGGCTTCACTACATTCTGAACATAACCATGGTTCACAAATTGGAATTAAGACTAAATTGATTGGAATTTTATGTTTATTGGAATTTTATGTCTTTTGGGGTATATGAGGGGAGGGATTCACTTACTCCAAAAAAATAAGTGGAAAAATTCTACTAAATATCTTAGTCATTCAATCTTGAAAAATCTAATGATTTAGATGTACACATCAATTCAAACCATTGAATTTCCCAAAAATAAATGATCATGATGTGGAGTATGTTTTTTTCACTTACTC